AAAGGACGAAAAAGAATTTTTGGGCAAAGCCTGGCAGCACTATGGCAGCTTCTGTGAGAAGACACAAATTTGGGAGCAGGTCACTAGGCTTGGGGACCTGCCACAAACCTTTTCTGGGTTGGTGGCAGCTGTCAGGGAAGGGGATTGAAAGGAATTGCTGTGGCCTCCAGGGACCCACCACCAATCTGGAGGTGGTGGTGGGCAGACGGGTTGTTTTGTTTCCTGCCCCATCCCCGGAGGTAAATGTGAAGGATTGGAGAAATAAAGCAGGGATTTATTGGGAGGGAGCAGATTTACTGGGAACTGGTGGTCAGGGAAGCATTAACCTTCTGCTCCCTCTCTGAGCTGATCTGATGGTGGTGGGGTGCACAGCTTCTGTCCCTGCCTGTCTTTCTCTCGGGGTCCTCCAAACAGGCCATGGGGCCATGGCACCCTGGATGGGGGCATTTCATTTCCTCCCTTTCCCCCGTGATCTGCCAACATAAACAACTGCCTACTTTCACCTAAACTGAAAACCAGATCTGCCTCTAATCATGTTGGGTGACTGTTGACATGTGTAGAGTTTGATATTTTGATAATATTATATGTCTGTGATAATACTTCATTACAGTTATGTCCTTGGCTATAATTCTTTCAACACAGTCACTTTTCTACTGCCCTTTGAGTTACAGGAAAGCACTGTAAGGCCACATTTTGCTCTGATGGTCACATTATAATTCAGATGATTTAGAATTAATCAGCATTTGATATACCTTTGAGAAAGAGCATGCAATGCATTTGTTTCTCTTGTTTTTCTTCTAAAGGAAATTGTGCATGTGTTTGGGAGAAAGGGGAGAAGACTTTTTTCCCCTGCTCAGATTTGCTTGTAATTTGAAACCATTACTGTTGTGTTGTCATATTATATTCCTCCATTTTACAGACTACTTACAGTTATTTCCCTGATTTCTTGCCTGCACAGAGGAGACCATTAAACTATGACTTGAAAATTAGCATGCCAATCAGCAGTTTATATTGTGAATCTGTGGGGGTTTATTCTTTGCATTTAGAAAGAAATGTATGTCAGATTGTGTTTTTAGTTTCATCTCTACTAAGAGATATCTACTATCATATCTACTAAGTAATATGTCTTGTGATTTGAACAGCAGAAACTTGTTCTTATGTTTTGAGTGACTAAGATAAACCTTTGTTTACTGCTTCTTTCACAGATGGTAAATTCTCTGTGTATGTTTTATCAATAGTCTGAAATCCCATAAATGCTCTAGTGGCAATAATATAATGCTTCATCATCTGCCAAAATGAAAGTTTAAACACTGTTTGAAAGTCAATTTTGTGATTTGTAAAATCTTTAAGAATATTTCTGATACTTTCTTGAAGTAAAATTTTCCTTTGGATTGGTAAATTTAAATATTTCATTTAGATAAACATGAAATGTATTGTGTTGCTATTAGCCAGTTTTTATTAATCATATAAAGTAAGATTAAATTGCCTCTAGAAGTAGAGGAATCTAAAATTTGGAAATAGTTACCCTACTTTTGAGACTAAATAACTGTATTTGCAAAGTTGCTAAATGTTTTCTAGAAATTTGTTCTGAAGGCCATGGGGAGAGACAGCCTTTGTTTTGTTTCCTAAAACCAGCAAATTAGACCAATAAAAATATGTTTTTTCAAGGAAGGTAGGAATCAAATGCTTTAAAGTAGATTCTATGCCCAGACTAAAAGGGTATTTTTTGCAGTTGGATCTAATTTCTAGAAAGTTTTCAGGAAGAAGTGCCTGACATGTCTCTAGCATGCAGAATATTGAACAGATTTGTATTTTGAGTCTGCTAAAGCACATACCTGGTGCATCTTCCTGCCTGCAATCCTGAGCCCATAAGATTCTGGACAATATGAATGTGTCTCTTTCCCTGCTGCTGATAATGGAAGATGGAGGTGAACCCATGCAGGAGCAACTGGGAATGTGCTGACTTAATCCTTAATGAGAATTGCAAGCATGTTTTTCTTGCGCAATCTTATCATTAGACTGTCATCAGTAGTCAAGACAACAATATAATCCTGTTAGAGGCAGTCAAGATTATGGCCTTTCTTGGGTCATTTAGATTCACTTCACTGCTGATGCTTGGCCTGAAGGCAGGGTTATTTTGATGTCTCCAGATGGCACGGTGTCTGCCAACCTGCAGAACATGCACGCTCAAGTATCTCCTTGTGCATGGAGTTCAGCGTGACTCTGCATCATGCAAAGAGGATGCCTCTGTATTAGAGTTTAGTGATTCACTTTTCCAGCAGAAAGGTGGGAGCTGTCCCCTGACCATGTGTAAATGTGTTTCTGGTGAAGGTCTGCATCTGCAACTGTGGCTGACATGTAGGTATTCATCTCAGATCTAAAGAAGGTCTGAAGATGCATGCTCAAATATTGCCCACAACTCCACAATATCTCTACAAGATCTCTGTAAACTCCTAAATTCAGATGAGAGGTGTGACTCTTCTCTTAGAGCGCTGTGAGAAAGTACCTGCAGGTTTGAGATATGGCTGAAGGCCTCTTGTTTCTTATATTAGCCTGTTTAACCAAAGGGGAAAAGAATTGATATAAGAAACAGGCAGGAACTAGCCCCAGCTGCTGTCTGTCTTTCCCATGAGCACCCAGAACTCCTGAGCTTTTTGTGAAAGTCTCCCTCACATTTTTATTTTGTCCAGCCTGATTTTTTTTTTTTCCCAGCAGATGTTAAAAACAACCTTTTGCTTGCAAGAAGTTTTGCTTTGATGATTCATTGTAGTCTGAAAAAAAAGTTCCAAATCAGCTGTTAGATAAGCAGAGAGCAAAGCAGTGTTCAGAGTATATAAGTGACAGAATAATAACCTGGCTGATTACAAGGTTAGGTGTTGGTGTTTCACCTACTAAGCTAAATATTCACAATCTCTTTTTTTCACTTAGGTGTCCAAACTATAGATGAATCTTTTCTTTCTCAATGAACTTTTCATCCTTTTACTGACATCAATTCTTATTTATATTCAATTAACCCAGAAAGAAAGCTTCTGGCAAGGCGAGTCAGATGTTGTCTGCTGAAAAGAGACATACAAATCTTGTCACATAGCTTTTATTTCTATGGTCAGGAACCCTCAGGCCTATTATTAAGGCAACTTAGGCTTGTGTGGAACTTTGCTGTCTCCTGCACACTCTGAAATAAGATTACATGATGGAGAAGATCAATTTACAGAGAACATTTAAGCTCCGAATATTAAGCTTTTTGTGCAATCACATCTCCTTCCTAGCTGTGTGGCAAAAAAGCTAGCCACAAGATCCTTGACAAATTAGATATTACCACATCTGACTGTGTATATTTAAGCTTATCAAACTGAATCGTTGCATTGTGACTGTGCTCTTACACAGACAAGGACTCCATTTAATAAATGCAGTGCCATTTAATAGTAATTAATCACCCAACTAAAATGTCACATTAAGGTCAAAGAGACCAGGAGACAAAAAGAAGAGAACATTAAATTCAGCTGACAAACATAGGAAAAGAGAATATAGAGCCAAAGAAAGTTCTGGGACATTGGCACTGGTAAACATTTAATCCAAACTTCTTTACTTTCCGTTCAGTTCAGAAATAATCACATTCACTTGGTTCAAAGCAAGGTCATTTTTGTAACTTTTAAATGAAATTTCCTCATTGCGTGTGCAGTGACAGCCCATTGTAAGCTTGGAATTGTTGGTGCATTTTACAGATGTTGTGTTCTCTGTATTTGCTGTTTCCTTCCTCCATGTTTTTCTCATTTTTTCTTTGCTGTTATGACATTCTTCATGTGTGGAATTTTCCTCAATATGCCCTGAATGCAAGCACCCTCGAAAGTCTCAGGTTTTGGAGTTTGATTTCAATTATGCAGAGTTTGATTTCACATTACTACTGTGTAGTGCTTTAGCTTTTGTTGTGGTTTCATCACTCAACAGCAACAAAACCAAAAAGAAGTTATTCAGTTAAATAAGGGGATTATTTGTGTTCAATGTTTCTATAAACAGAAGCTCTACATAGGAAGCTCTGATTCAGAGGAAGCACAGTTACCATCTGCAGAAGAAAATGTATATGGAGCTCCTTATACTAAAATTGGGATATTGCAGAAAAGGAAAAACTCTGTTGTTAATTCCACTTCTTTACAATTGTGTTAATCAATTTCAATGTAAGTTTATGAACAGATTTCTACATGTGGACCTATGTGTATATGTTTCCTTTGTTTCTCAGAGTGTTATTTTTCTTTTCCTTTCTTTTATAAAACATAGAAGAGAGCAATCACTATCCACTTTTAAAATATGCATTTTGAGAGGCTAAATATACTGGTTTCTGTGCATGAAGAAATGAACTTGTAAAATACTGTCAAGGATGGAAATATGTTATTGTCAGTGGATGTTACAAAATTCAGACAAATGGCTTCTAAATAGATTTGTTTTTTAAAGCATCTATCATTTCTCCTTCCTGTTCCAGAGTTCTCAGTTTTATGTCCAACGTTTTTTTGCATGAGCATTGTAAAAAAGAGTAATTCTTCAAAAATTACTTGACATTTGGCAAGATCTGTCTTTATAACTTCTGCATCAGTCCAAAGAATTTTGGCCTTTCCAAAGGTTAAATATTATCTTTCAAAATTGTGTAATTCTGTCTTTGTCAGGAAGTGTCTTCATTTTCTATAATAACCTCTTCTTTCCTTACCTTTAATGTCAAAAATTTCACATATGAATGCCCAAACTCATTTTAGTTTTCGCACATTTTAGTTTTAATGAAGGTTTTGATGATGCAAAATTCCAGAGTCCTGATGGTAACATCTGAATTACCTCTGCAGGCTTTGAAGATGAAAAATAACCATTCTCTTTCAGTTGTCTACGTTTGTACTGATTTCTGGAAGAACACAGTTCACTGTATTTCCACTGAGCTTCTGGGACAATCCTATAGACATGACCCCATTTCTTACACAGCCCTAACAGTCCTCCAAGAAAAACATGTTTGACAGTAAAGGTTAAAATATTATCTTGTTTATTTCATAATCCAGTGGTTTCCAAACTGTGGTCTGCATTCCAACCTAGTGGGCTGTCTTTAGTAGTGCTTGGCTGGTCTGTGGTCTGCAGCAGATCCTGTGGTTAACTGGGACTCCATTAGGAAGAAAATTTTCTGGCCAGTAGCACAGTCTCTTCCAAAGCGTGTGATCCTCAGCCCCTGGAACACAACAGTGTCCTACGTTAGACTTCCTGCATGTATGAATAAGCTGCAGAGGGAAAAATGACTGGGACATGTACTCATGAAATGTGAATAAGTGAGAGAAATTCAAGCACCTGGACAATTTAGATACTAGAGATTTATGACTTTGGGTGGTCACATCTAAAATGCATATTAATTTTATTTTTTTTTTAAATTTAAAAGAAATAAAAAGCTCCATCTCAGAGTCAGTTCTGTCATGTAGAATGGTGTAAGACAACAACAGATATCATAGGCAGATTTTTTTTCCAAATCTAGCTTGTGCTGTGTTTGAACAAACAAACAGTTGGCCCCATAGCAATTGGTAGCTGTAGTAGTAGGTGTTTGGCCTTTTTTAGGCTATTTTCAGCAGCTAGAGGAAAGCCAGTCATTTTTGTAAGTACAGTTGACAGCTTATAGCAGAGGTAGTTTGGAAACAAAATTTTAACTAAAGTAGAACATTCACCAATATTTCCAATATTCTGTTCTGGTTCTATTCTGTTTTCTTTTCTTCCCTTAGCATCTCTGAAATGGCACTCTACCTCCACTTGTGTCTTGCATTCATCCTTTCATACACTCTGTCTTTGGCCCTTTTCTTTTTCTTTGACTTCAACTTTGGTTTCTGCCTTTGGTTCTCTTCTCACTCTCTTGCCTGCCCTCTCTCATCTTTACAGCTCTTATAAACTTGCTGCATTTCCAAATACACCTTCTATTTGTCCTGGGTGTGCAGGCCATTTCTTTTACTCCATCGTCTCTCTGCCTGGAGTGCACTGAGAGTGGAAGGGCTTTGCTCTCATCTCTGTCATTTCCAGAGACTGCTCTCTTGCTATCTGCTCCTTCAAAAAACTCCTTGTTCAGCTCCTTGTAGCTCTAGACTGGAACATACTCTTCTGACAGACTTCTTGGGGATGAACTAATTTATGTATGTGCACTCTGAGAATGTACAATATGAGCTTTTGTGAAGACTTTTGGTTAAATATAGTTGCAAGCACGTTGCTGTTGCTTTGGTAACCTTGTCAAAGTACACTGCTAAACAAACAAGTACACAAAGAGAAAAATATCTTTCTTTATAGCCCAGGTATTTGAAACACATTTAGAAAATGTTTTTTTGTGAGAAAAAAGAGTTGGTAAGCAAAAGTTCCACTATAAATTGTACATTTTTTTGCCAGTAGGTTTGGCTCCAATGTACATAACACTGTTCAGTGTGTACGTTTGCATTTTTCTGACCAACACTATGGGTGCAACATTGTGTCTTCACTTTCTACCTGTGATTTGCTTGTGTTCAGCACATCATTTTCCATGGAGTTGTTGCCAGAAGATGGGGTTTTCAAAACCCAAAGGAATATGGAATAGTTTGCTGTCTAAATGAAATACTGTAGCTTAACTCCCTATAGTTAAAGAACAGGAAAAAAAAAAAATGACAACTTGTAAAATAAACTCAAGTTTAGTTAAAAAATGCGCTGTCAAACCTACCTGTGTTTTACACTCCTTTGAGAGTGACATAAACACACCATTACAGTTGCCTCACTTTAAACCCCTAAGAAGTTGCTAGCTGCAGTGTATCTTAAGGGAGAAGTAAATCACTGATCTAAATGGTAATTTCATCCTCACCAAGGGTTTGCATGAGGCTGATTATATCAATGTAGTCCCATAACTAGCAAAAACTGGGGGCTCCCCTGTCCAAGCTCATAGCCTCCACATGAGCAGGGGTTTTTGCTCTTTGAGCTGAACTTAATGCAAATGTACCTGGGACAAACACTTTTAAATCCCTACACATATAGCAACCTATGTGCAACACAGGGGAAGAAGTCAGCTGGCTGCAAGGAAGGATGAACATGCCCTCAACACAGTCCTCTCCTGAGCCTTGTGGGGATACTGCTGCCTTCGAGAGACTTGTTCCCATGATGAGGCACACAGGGCATCAAAGCAAACACTGTGCATTATGTATACATAAATATATGCGTAAAGGCTCTACATTCTGGTCACGAAACAGAGGAAGCAGGCTGTGCTGATCAAGTCCCTTTTTTTCCAAAATACTTGCCTGCTTTCTGAGCAATGCCATAACGAGCTTACCTTCTTCAGGATCACTCACCCCCTCAAGGGGACAACATTCCCCAGCCTGCGCCTGAGCTGGGACATGCTGGGTGTCTTTTATTTGTTTTCTTTCCCGGCGATACTACCCCTCTTGGAGCAGACGCTTTAGTGAGATGGATGGCACTCAGGTAACTGGCAGTTCAAGGAAGTCCTTCCCCGGGTTGTTTACAGCAAGGCGTTTTAGAGCAGCCATTTAGCTTCCACCCTGTCCCACCCCGCTGACCAGCTGTAAGTGTAAAGGCCGCCAGTGGGCCTGCAGGTCGCTGATAAACTAAACCCCCATTTGGCAGGCAAGGAAGCCAGAACGATAAGGATGTTGATTTATGTTTTATCTGTCACTACATTTTCAGTAAAGTCGGGCAGCGAGCCTTAACGGAGCGAAGGCTGTTATCACCTCTCCTTAGCCCTTTAAGTGCAGCAGGCTCTTTGGTGTCTCTCGCTGGATGCCGCTTTGTTAATTGCGACGGGAAACAGGACCAGGCGCTGAGCATCGCTCTGCCCGGGCGGCACTCGCCACAGAACCGCCGGCTTTGGGAGAGGAGCCCCAGCCCAGGAGTCACACACGCGGAAGAGGGTTCGTAGAAGTACTCAGCATTTCCTGGACTTGCTTCTATCGTGTAAAATGTACCGCATACCTTGAAGTGAATGTAATGGCTGGCTTAATTGGAGATAACTTCACTGAAGTGGCCCTAGTTACCATTTATGTCAGCGGTGAATGTGCCCTTTAGCGCTGCGCCCCTCAGGTACGGCTGTTCAGCGTAGGAAAAACCTGACAACATTCATTACCGCTGAAATAAATGCTGTGAATTACATCTGTGATTAGGTACCATTTTCCCCTCATTTTGGATACGTGAGCGTTATTTTTCTGAAAGCATTGTAGGATTTTACACATTATATTTAATGGCAAACACATTTTCAGTTTTGTGAAGCACCACGTGCTTTTTGGGGCCAGTAGAAGTGCCCACAGAGAAAAGGGTGGAAAGAGCTGGGAGAGAAATGCGAGCAGTAAAATATGGAAGTATTCTGGCAAAACCAGAACATGGAAAATCTGAAAAAATCCACCCTAAGCAATTCTTGTTACATCCTATGAAGAATGTTAAAAATACAGATTTTTCTTTTCCTTTGTCTCCTTTTGATTTCTTTCCCTTTTTTTTTTTCTTCTTTCTCTCCCTCTCCCCAAATATTTCGTCTTACCTTTCAAGTCTGTCATTATATTTCTTTCTAAACAAATCTAGAAAGAGAAAAAGGAGCTAGTTCCTGCTTGAGGTCAGTGGGAATTTTGCCATTGACTTTAAATAGGTCCAGAAGCGGGCCCAACAGAGCATTTTATAGCTTCCTTTATTTATCTTAGGTTTTATTTTGAGCAATGTGTCTTTTGTATGACTGCATTATTTCCACAGGGAACACCATAATGATGGCCTCATATACCTTATTATATACACACGTACTGAACAAAGCATTATTGATAGTTATGCTCTTTTAAACAAGAGTAAAAGACAGCTATGAAAGTACAGCACAAAGATGCTTTTATGGTGCAGATTCAGTACAAAATTAGCGTTCTCGGCAAGTCTGTGCGTGATACCACTCCGTACCAATTGTCAAGAAATCTGCTGATTACTGAGGAACAGGTGATTAAAAGGAAGTAATTAATGCTTTAGTCTAAGAAGCCAGGCCTGCATTTGGTTTTGTAAATGATGCTCATAGCTGATCTGTTCTTCCTGAGAGAAATGGGAGAATGAATCACTGCTCTCCAACTGGAATACAGCAGGAACTCAACTGAAATGATTGAGCTTAATATCTCTAGGCTAATGGGCCAAGGATAACAACACAAAGTTTGGCAGAAATCTAGTTGATAACCAGGGATATCAGCTATGGAGTGTGGTGGTCATTTCTTACACAGGATTCAGATGAACAAATGAGGGAAGTGACTATTTCTGGGTTTTGTTGATGACAGTTATGAATCTTGAGTTCTATGCAAAGCTGTCTCCAAGGAATCCCCAAAGGGCCATCTCATGCTTAGAGATAATTTATCACAATTACAAATGTACTGTATGAAAACCATACCAACAATGTAAATACAAGAAAGAAATAAAGATGATTTTGCTGTAAAAGTGACTGCTGCCATGAGTTAGAACCACCAGCCTCTCTCTGCCTTGTCAAAAGCGAAGGTAGACTCCCAGCTGGATAAAAGCTTCATCTCACAGAGATCTGGCAATGAGAATGGATCAAAGGCATATTTTTCTCTCACAGTCGTTATGAGAGATCCTCTGGATCAGCTGTACTTGGGACAGACTAGCCTGAGAGTGCAGCACCTCTTTTGCCCAAGCAAAAAGGGACAGCTGAACTGTGCACGTGTGTTCAGGAACCAGAAATGTTGCTGTTGTGTCCATTCCCTTCAGCTAGCTGAAGTCAAAAATCAATTTTCCTTCCAGTTATTGTAGTTACATTACTTGTAGGGCAGCTTTGATGCTGCTGGGTTTGTATTCCACAATAAGTTGCAGCAGCTGTCTGGAGAACATACAACCTATTTACTTCTGGTTGTCACGGAAAGAAATCTACTGCTAGGAAAACCAGAAGCATTTATGGAAACCCATGGGTGAGGAGAGGCTGCAGAGCTTACAGCAACTGAAGTCCTGCCCTGTGAACAGAGGCACACAGACAGTGCCCTGCACGCAGGGTGAAACACCAGCTCTTGGCAACATACACAGTGGGATTGGTGCTTGCACCCAAAAAACTTTCCTGTGGATGAAAGAAACCTGTAGTCATTAGTTACCGCAAAAAAATATACTGTTGGCAACCACTTGTTACTCTAGAAACCTCAAGAGAAGAAACAACTGCTCGCTGAATGAGCAGCCCTGGCTGCAGCATAACAGTCTAGTTTATTTGTTGGACTGGAGCTGAGTAAGAAATTTTATAAATATAATCTATTTTTTTTTAATTGATAAATTTCCCACAAGCCAACAAGGCTAATCTACAGCATACTTGCTTTCCCAGGTATTTGCTGAAAGCTTTCTGCAAACATATCTTCAGTGCTTTTAGTAAATTTGCCTGCATGCATAGTTTTCCAGTGTTTTTATTATTTATTTGTGACTGAACAAATAAATCTCTAAGGATTTGGATCTTACATAAAAATTTATAATGTGGAAATGCTATATGTTCTTGCACCAGCTCTGGTGTCTGTTTTTTCAAGCTTTCCTACCATTAAACTGAATATTCATGGAAAATAGATTGAGAAAGGGCGTCAATAAAACTGGAATAAATCCAGTATCTTATTCAACTGATTATCCAGGAACAGTTTTGGGCCACTTTCCCAATTCTTATTAAAATAATAAAAAAAAAAGAGAGAAAGAAGTCCTCTCATCCATTTATGAGTTGTGCCACTTTAAAAGTTTCTATATTCCATTACACAGTTCCCCACCCACTTGTTTGCCCAAATACAGTTTGCTACTAGATGGATCCAGAGCAGCTGCCTTGCCCCAGAACAGCTGCTGGTGCTCTATATTTGCAGCTTCCTCTTGCTCTCTGATACTCCATAAAACTGTTTATATTCCCTGTAAAAGTATTTTCACTCTGTTTGCTTAGTGACCGTGCACCACAAATATTCTCTTTGCCACTAACAATCATGAAATGAAAATGTTTACAAAACTTTATTTAGTGCCAGTACCTAATAAACCATAGAAATGCTCTGAAGTGAATGTGTGTATGCAATGTGTGTATGCGTGTATGAATGAAGTATTTACCTAATTTTTCTGTTCAGCAGAGAGGTGGTGATGTACTTTTACTAGCACTACTCCAAGATTGCATGCATTTGGTGTCTACTGCCTGGTTTTATAACTCTTTGAAGCTTATTTATGGTCTGTGGAAGAACTGACATGTGAACTAAGCTAACTATTTTTGCAGCTTTATTTTGGAGCCTTGGCCATATCTATTCAAGATCATGTGTTTATGCCACATCAATGCAAACTCGTTTTTCCTACCTCAGATTGGGTATTTGAGCTAGTTTGTCCTGCACTACTTTGATGCTACCCATCACAAACCATTTGCACTTTTCTTCCTTCATTGCTGTAACCTCATGTATTCTGAAAGAGGAATTGTCCCACAGCTTTTATTAGGGTGACATGTTTGAAAATATCTGATTCAATACAAGGAGGGCAATTGTTTGCCTTTGAAGGAACCCTGCTTCTTAAAAGGGAATGACAGCACATTTTAGTTCATTGAGTTAATTGCTGCTACCCCAAGAGTCTGAGGTAGACTTATTTGCTCTTCTCTTTGCAGCTGGCTTGTCTTTCTCAGATGATACACAGGGCGGCTGAGCAACACTTGGTAGTTTTCATTCATTCCTTTGCTCCTTCATTTGGTATCTCACACACAGTATGTATCTCCAATGCCAAATCCTCTTTATCAAGCTCACAAAACCAGGCTGTGATGTGTTGCCAGAAGGAACAAAGTGCAGTGGGGTAAAATCTTGGAAGGGAAAGCTTTGCTTATGCACAGAAGGAGTTCATACCCAGCAGCAGCAGCAGGATTTGCTCTCTAGCTGATCTGCTTTCAGTGCAGGGCCGGATTGAGGCAGAACCACCACAGTACCTTGTCTCTCTGAACTCCAAGGACTGAGAAATGGATACTTTGCCTATTGTTTCGGGTATTTTTAAAGCATGTAGTTTGGCTTAGAATATTTATTGCTTTTCTTGTGATCCTGAAATCCGTGACTACTGTCAGCATAGTAGTTGTATTTCTTTTATGCCTAAACTTTGTTCCCACGGTTTATGTGTGCTACAGAGATTCTTTGGTTCAGTGCTTTTTACTAATATGAAAGTGAATAATAATATAGAGGTGGATTCCATATTCTATTTCATATTATATTCTGTTCTATTTTCATATTCTATTCAAGATTCTGATAGTCTTGTAAAAGGGATTTTTTCTATTATGATTTTTTTTCTGCTTGATAATTTCTTTTACACTGCAAACCAAGGACATAACTCAGAAGCCTTCAGCTGGGTGTAGTGTTTCAGTTCCTTTCCTGCCCTTACCAAGTCCAGGAGCCAGTGCTGCTCGAGACAGACTGGGAAAATTTTATTTCAAAAATACATCTCTGTTGCCTCTTGCATTACAAGAGTTTCACACTCAACTTTACCTTTCACAGCAGCTAAGGGTCAGTCTAGAGAGGACCCAAAAATTTTGCTTGCCACTATTAACAGCACTGCCACAAGCACTGCCAGACTTTATGCTCTCTTAACTGGATCTCACAACACAGGTAATATATAAACCAAGATAATAACAAAATATGTTCTGACAGATGACTTTGGGCTAAAAGAGTTTGCAATAAGACAGCACACAATATAGGGTTTTTTTTTCCCCCCAGGATCTCTGTAGCTGACCTATTCTTAAAATTAAGTTTTGCGGTGTGAAGACTTTTGAGCCTTCCAAACAAAATCATTCTAAATGTTCATTAAATTTGCCTCTATATATCTTTGTCTGATGATAAATACTTTCCATTTAAAACAGTACTTGATTTCAGTATCTCTTGACAGTGAAGAGGTTCTTTTTCTTTGAGGATTAAAGACATTGCACCTGCTCCTCTTTCTCTTTTTATAGTGCATAAACAGATAATATGTAATACTTTTACCTGGTATTCTTCCACAACATTCATGTTACAGCAGGTACCTCTATAATTCAATAAAGGTACCACAGATTGGCTTCTGTGCACTGAGGAACAGGGTTTGTGTTTCTGCGAGTTCCTCTTTGGGAAAGTAGCCAGAGCTACCTCATGCACCCTAAATTTAGAGAGGCCTTTGTTTGTCCAAAGCAGTTCAGAATGTCTGATACTATAAAATGTGTGGGAGAGATGGTTTTATCTTTTAAGCATCCTTATCCATAGCTTCAGGAATAACTAACTTTTCCCTAAAATCTGTAGTCTGCACATGTTTTAGATTAGTGTCATTTGTGTTTTTGTTGGTTTTATGAGTTTTTTTAAAATAATTTTCCTGTTTTCTGAATAAATTATGTGAAACATCTGCCCTAAATTTAATCTATCAAGCTCATAAAGGGAAAAGGCAGACGTTTTATGAGTGATATTATAAAATTTAGATAATTATCTTGTTTGTTTTAGCAGTTTCTATTTTGGTCCCTGTACAGTATTCTTTCATTAAAAGACAATTTTTATATGGCGTACTGGTAAAGGAGAACAGCCAGTGATCACATAAAAAGTACATTTAATAGTGGTCCTGTTAATCAGTAATATTCTGTGTATTTTTAACTGAACTATATTAATTGTGTAAGCATAAACCTAATCTCAAACCTGTTATATGGTTTCCAGATTAAAAAAGGAAAAAAAGTCTCTGTAGAGACAGCATATAATTCCTGTAGCTTTCACTAGCTGTGCAATTTATGTCAGTTCAAGTAGGATATACAAAGCAGAGCAATGAATGCAAGATGGACTTATGGCACCCTTTTCCTCTGCCATCTGCATCAGTTTGGTGAAGTTTTGCCATCTTGCATCTACCACGTGTACAAATCTTTTTAATGCAAGGTGGAAAATTATTCTGGGGAGACATCATCATGTGCACTCCTGTTCTTATCTCCTTTACTAGGCATCTGCCACTGTCTGCTGTCAAAGACAGCATCCTGTGCTAGGGTAAACCTCTGGTATGCCCTGATGTGGTTATCCTTGCTGCTCATCGGCTTATTCCTGACTTTTTTGATTGTTTGGTTTTTGTTTTGTTTTGTTTTGTTTTGTTTTGCTTTGTTTTGTTTTGTTTTGTTTTGTTTTACTTTGTTTTGTTTTGTTTTGTTTCAAAGCAGCTACTTCCACTGACTTTGCAGGATGGAACCTGGAAAGTTCCATATATATGAAGTCCCAAATAATAGGACATATAAATATATAAAGACCCAAATATAATAATAGTATAGGTATAATAATTAATTAATATATATAATAATAGTTAATAATATACGTATAATATAATAATAAATAAATATATATATAATATGCAAATATATGAAGTCCCAAAATATAGGATCAAAAATGAATGTCACTTTATTTAAGAGAAGGTGCTGGTGGTTCAGCTTAAGAAAAAAAAAGGAAAAAAACAAAGCCACTGCAGCTCTCTTCCTCGTAGTCATCTGTGAGAATACTCACCAAACAAACCTTACTGGAGTTGTGAGTGATCTTCCTTGTCTCAGAGCTGGATCACAACCTTTCAAAGCCCATATGGATTCACAATAATGTTTTGACGATGTTGATGAGACCTCACCTCTTGTGCGCAGTTTTTGGATGACTCTTGCTCCATCTCATCTTTTGCCTTCTTTAAACTCTTCTAAGTCTTGTTCAAGTATTTTCTTTCCTGATTTCCACAGTACTTTTCTCTGCCCATACATGCTCAGCTTGCCTTCTGGGACTTCGTGCAGCCCAGGAGGTCCAACGTGTCTAGTTAAAGTAGGATCTGTGCTGGCCTAGTGGGAGAGACTGATCCTTTCTGGGTCCAAAAATTTTTGCATGTTCTGTAAAAAATAAAAAAGTGATTGAAAATAAAATGCTCCATAGAAATATAATGATTTTCTTGTTTTGGTTTTTTTTTTGGTTAGCAATGTGAAATCAGTGCATCTTTCTGAGGGCTATTTATGTTGCAGAGGAGCTGAGAGGGGAAGGTAAGAGAAGCATGCGTGTTGCTTTTCAGTGCAGAGAGTCTGCATTTTTATCCCCCCACTATATATCAATGGATAGAGAATTCATTCATTTGGAACTTACTAAACGGTGCCAGAAGGCAACAGAAAATAATAGCTTAGCTGTATGAATGATATGCAGTTTATGCCCAGAGTCTGTTATAATTTGTTGGGACTTCAGGGTTTAAAAGACAGATTTTTCAAAATTCCTGTTAATCCAAAGTCTATGCCAACAAGGTTCCAGGGTCACTAGTTAAAATTAAAATTCTCCTTTATGGGTAGAACATGCTATAGCATGCATTTGTAGTCACTGTTCTCATATTAGTAGGCAGGAATAACTCTGTTATTCTCTGAAAATATCTGAATAATTTTTCTTCCTTTCTGTTTGAGGATTCTTGATTTCCACACAATCATCCATGACAGACTTTTACTGAAATATTTTTTTCAAATTTTTCTGACCAATCACTGCCCTAAATTCAGGGTTTTGTTAACTTCTGTTTGCTGTCTTTGCTGTTATTCCTGCTCCCCATCTGGCTAGACATAAAAATTTTCTTTCCTGATAAGTAGTTTCAATGGAATAGGTGCTGCAGACCAAACAGAGAGATCTGTGACCCCATCTGGATTTCAGTCTCTCACTGCAAGCCAGTACCACAGCTTCAGGGGGATTTGAGCCACACGAGCCCAGGATGCCGGTGAGAGGCACTGCAGCTCTCCCTGATTCTCCAGCGAGGCCCACCCGCCGTCCCCGTGTCTGGTCCAGCATCACACGCGTTCACAAGGTGTGCCACGCCACTCCGGCCTGTCCTGCAGCCTGTTCCCCACACCTGTGCTACGGGGCAGGGAGCAGATTTAGGATGTGGCTACTCACAATCTTTCTCTGTTGCAGCAATTTCTGGTAGCTGGCTTTGATATTTATCTTCTCTAGGCAAGTGTCCGTGACCAGCCATTTAAACTTTGATTTTTAACCAAGCTGCACTGCTTTGTTGGTGTGGCCTGCTTCCAAGTATCGTCGGAATTCCTGGGAAATCAGTGGGCTTTCCAGTACTTCCCAATGAAAAAGTCATGCTTGCCTGTAATCCCATGCTGGGACTAAGAGCACTAACTGAAGTGCATATGAGAAATAGCAAGGGGCATTTTTACCTCAGAAGCCAATGAAGGAAAGGGAGTTTAAGCAAGAGGAGACTTTGGGGCTTCTGTTTTGTTGCAGTGTGAACAGAGCCAGAGGGCAAATTCTTCCCTCCTGCTCAGTCTCATTATTCTGCCCTCTGTATATCCCACCAACCCACTGACATCCAGAGCAGGGAAGGGAAAAACCCACTTCTGGGACCTAGCAGGAGAGCTCCCTATTCTCCTGTATGTGTGAATCTGGTATAAGCCAAATCAAAGCACATAATTAAAATATTTTCTCCTTTATATGTTTTCTGTGATACAAGTTCTTTGAGGATTCAAAATGCCAGGAGGGATTGCCAGTGTTTCATCTGGTTAGTTTACGTGCTGATTGATGACTTTGATAATATGTGTAGTTTAATGATATTTACACTGTTTGTCCAGTTAGGTATATTAAAAGAATGTTGAGAAAATAGTAGACGTGCTAAAATCCTATGGTAACAGCTCATACGTTTAGTGGTGTTTTGTTGTGAACAAAGTCATTTTTCAGCCAAGTCATAAAGTAGCCTAAAAACAAGTGTGGCACTGTTTGCTTCAAATGAGCCTGTTGCCATGTGACCACCATTCATCTGACATCATTACTGACATAGCTTTCCTTAGTATGATATCTGATTAAGGCTCCCAGCCGTGGTGGAGCCAGACTAAGTAGTCTGAGTGAGGTGGCTGAGGAAAGTTAATGTGTCAATGTTACTACTGGGGGAGAGCTTCTGCTCAAACTTTCCTTCAGAGAATGAGGATAGAAATGGCTGAAGGTCTTTCTAATGGGAATCTTCTGAAAATATTTGAAGATCTGGTAGTAATTAACGATGTGCTGAACTCCAAAGAGAGATGTAAGTTCAGTTCAGCAAAACATAGAGATACTCTTTCTGTGTGAGGAAATGCAAATATGGAGAAGAATTGAAAAAAGAAAAATTAGCTAAAAAATGAAATTAATCACATATTTGCAGAAACCAATTCATTAAATATCTGTGTACCATGTGTATATATTTCTGGCTTGTACATGTAAATAAACAAATAACCTTTTTTTAGCATCTAAATTTCTCTTTTATTAAAAAAAATAGAAGGTTTGAGGTATTCTTGTTACCTCAGGAAAAGATAGTTTTCAGCAGGTACAGTGAAAAATAATTTGCAATGTCTGTCTAAGATGGGATAAATTCCACTGTTTCTGTTTGGGCTTTTGAAATCCACAAAGATTACCACTTAATCTAGTAATCTGGAAAACATACTGACTAGCCTGCTGTTTTTTGAAAGCATAACGATTAGCCTGAAAAAAATATCATAAAGTAATATTCTTTATGATGGAATGAATGGAATGATGAAATAATTTTTTTTAGTAATTCCGTTTCCTAAATCTGTTGTTGCTCTGTGCTCTAATTTTGGTTATGAATAAGGGACTTCTACTAATATTGTTCAATTTTTCCTTTTAAAATTAGAATATGGTAGGTTGTTTCCATTGCACAGATGCCTTAATACTTGATATATCTATTATACTTTGAAGTGCTGTGGGACTAAGACCCATCTTAGACTGGTATGAGACTCAGATCCACAACGAAAACCTCCAAAGTGCTTGAAGTATTACCTTCTACTTGATGCTCAAGTGATTTAAGAACATTTACATTGTCGAGGTGACAGGGAAGCATAAACCAAATAAGTTTTAGTGGGAAGTATGATTCCTTGTGCCTAGATCATCTTGGGAAAAGAATTTAGGTCAAAGAGAGGAGTTAAGGGTTTGACACTGGAAAGAGATCAGTAACCTCTCCAGTAGGTTACATATAGTTTAACAAGCACTTTTAGGTGATAGAAATCTTTAATTTATAGATTATAGATTTATAAATGTATAGATTATAATATTAAATGATGGTCTGACCCATAGTATCTGGGCAGTGACTTTGTCTAGATGACCAAAATCAGCAGTTCAGGAAGTGTACTGTGTTTGCATGGCACTTTTTCTTAAAAGCACCATCAAGTGATACAAGCCACTGCAAATTCAGAAAGGGAAAAAAACAAAGGATATGGCTTCAAGTCAAATTGCTCAGATGAGTCTTATTTTTTCTTGTACAAATATACCTGAAAAAAAATAGAACCTATTTCTAAGAAATACTGAAATATCCTTGGTATGAGTTACTCACCCATATTCAAAATCTTTAATGGTCTAAATTCTGTATCATTTGGCTTGTGGCCAGCCAATAGTAAATGCCAAGATTTAATGGGGGATTAAATTGTTGCTATTTGAACATTAATTCTTCAATAAAACAAATGAAATGAAAGGATAGACTTATACATTGAGCTGCAGTTTATTTTTGCAAGAAAATGTAGTAGAGTCTGCCTTATCTTCACATAGTTTGCAAAAATTTAATAAAAGGTATTTGTTTCTGCTCAAAGGAATAATGATAAAATCACTTCAAAACTGCTGGAAAAAATGCTGACTATTAATCTGCTACAGCCTTTTAAATGACTGATCATACACATTTAATCTTCTTTTCCTTTAATTAGAAAAGGTTGTAATGTGATAGATCCATTTGACGTTAGACTCAGCAACACATTACTTAGATGAAATCACACTTAAGAGTACTGCAGACTGGATCTGAGTAGCTCAGCTGATAAGGCACTGGTTTGTCATCTACAAGACAACAGTTCAAGACTTCTCTGATTTCTTAAGTCAAATTAATTTAGTTATGTCAGCTATGCTGCCATAAGATGATAATCCAAGCTGCATGGATGCCAGGCATACTATTACCTTCTTTGGCTAGATTGAAACTGTGTCAGAAACACTGGGGGTAGCTAGAATTCACTGCAGGTGTGGTGAGAAAAATGGAGCACATGAATTCCAAGAATTCTAAAATAAGTGTCAATATATAATTGCTCCTTCAATTCAACAGGTCTATGTTTTTTTATTTCCTGTCAGACCCAGAGTGAAACATGTCACACCCACTTGAACTCTGGTTGGACCTAGGATCTATCTATTAAGTTTACTTAAAATAACCCCTCAACAATCTCACTGGAACCCTCATGTTACTGCCTTCTCTGTGCAGAGCTCTAGCATGCATTATTATCATGACTCAGCAGAGGAATTAGTCACTTTGTGTGTTTCTAGGCTCAACCAACACATTGCAAACCATTTCTCTGAAGCCACACAGTCTCCATTGAAAAACTCTCTTCTAGGGTGCCTATTTCCTCTATGAATTTCCACTGTGACAGTAAATCTTTACAGGAGAGATATGAGGATAACAGGGCCTAAATGCTTACAGAGAAAACACAAACATTCTTGGGCAAAAGTGACTCACTCAGTGAGAGATAAAGGGGCTGGAATTTTCCTAAGGAAATGTCTTATAAACTTATGTTTTATGTCCATATCTCTGTCAGAAAAAAACTGTCATTCTCTCTTACCTCTCCAACAACTTCCATTTCAGCCAAAATTTTGTAGAGGGAGAAAATATAAAAATATCCCCCAGTTTTGTCAAAATATGTGGCTGGATAGGGAAACAAAGTCTTTTATCAGCCCCACTGATAAAAAAAAAAAAAATGAGCATGAATGATTTGTATGGATATTCAGAATATCCACTGATGAAAATATTGCGATGAAGATTCTGCAACACATATACCCACTGTACTCCTAGCACTGTGCATGGATTTCCATCCCAAAGTAGTAAGTCTGCTGTTTTGTGAATATCTATGAGAGCATGTTGACAGAAATCAGCATAAAAGAAGAATGAAATAATTCTGATACTGGAATGAACTGCCCAGATTTATGTAACATTTCAGAAACCTGGAAACACTGGTACATTCAGTGACCTTAAATCTGAAACTAGTGATGCTAAAATAACATCCCGTTCTTTTTTAATGCCAAGAGAAGGTATTTAAGCTTGTTGCAAAAGATTAGGATATCAGAGACAGAAAGAGGGGTGCAAATACAAGTTTGGAAGCAGTGTTGACTGTAGAGATTTGCAGTGTTGTGAACTTCAAGCAAGGCAATTGATAGCTCAGGTGGAAGATAACTGATCTCCTGAAAGTGTGTCATGTGCCACTTTTGCAACAGACTCAGTGATGATCAAATTTCTCAGGAATGATTGTCCACAATCCTTCAGAGCTTGTAAAACTTTTACATTTATCATAGAGCAAATAATCTGGTAAGCAGCCAAGCCTTCATTTTCCATCAAAGAATACTAAAAAGAATCCAATTCCAGGAATCTGATGCAAATGTGTTTTCTGTGAACTGCTGTGTATCCATGCACAGTTTAGAAGACGACATGAGAGAAGTTATTTAATGAGTAAAATATTGTTGTTTCTCCCCCTCCCTCCACTAGAATTCTACATATCAACTTTTCCAAGACACATATGCTCATTTTAATGACTTGAAATACTTTCCTAATGATTAAATTCTGCTTAGCTCTAGTAGACTCTTCCAGAACTTTTATAAACCAACGTAATGTATGCATCTGATGATAGGCTGTAAACATTCATTTGTAGGTCACTAAAAGCAGTGCTTGGAAAACTGAACTGTCCATAACCAACTTTGTTTAACAGCTTGTGTGATATTCACTCCTAAAATTATGTCTTGTGACTCAGTAAACACTTTTGGCAGTGCATAAATGCTGTCCAGTTGTCCAAGATGTCCAGCTACTTGGAACTGTGATGTCTAAATTTTTTAGTTGCATTTCCACAATTCTTCTGAGTCATGAAGTTCAAGTTGGCTTGAAGTTCAGTTGGGTGCTTGACCTCAAGATGGACTTCTTGAAGATTTGAAAAGTGAAAATCAATCGTATAATGTGAAAGTAGTGTTTTCATGCTGGTAGGGATTTTTGATTTCTATACTTTTCAATAACTTCCAGACACAAAAATGGGGTAATTTTATTAGTGTGAAGCAGGAGGCTACTGTCTGGCACCTTAGATCTCAGGACCTTCAGGAGATAACTGGCACTTATACATGCAGGTGACTGAATAAAGACCAGCTGGCTGCATGTGGAACATGGAATGTGGTGCTGTCCCTGTCAGCATCTTTTGTGCTCTTTGGTGTCTCACTTCACAGTAAGTACTGAGAGGTTGGACAATATTAGGCATCTACTCTTCATACACAGACTGGTAGAGGTTAAACCTTCCTAAGTAGCCACAGCTGCTGACAAGGAACACAAATTTGTATGTTGTTGTTTGGGATTTTTTTCCTTGCTCACCCACAACATTATTTAACAATCTAAAACATTTACTGTAAAATCACCTTATTAATTATGTAGTTTCCTCTTGTTCCTAATGTCAAGAAGACATGACACAGAGCAGTGAAGGACTTATGGAGATCATTGGGCTCTGTGTCACCTTCCACCCCTCCCAAAACAATTTGCATATTCACCTCTGTAGGGATTAGGAAAACCTTTCAGGACTTCATGAGACAGAGATGGCACAGGAACTGTGCATTTATTCTGCAGCCTGAGAAACCAACCTTGCCCAGGTTTCCTGCCATTCATCAGAGTTCACATCTCTGTGCCCAGTACCCTTCACCAGCTCTTCTTTCAGTAACTCCTGCACATATGCCAAGAATCCCATGGATCAATGACACTCCAGCTTCCATCTTTTACAGAAGTAGGATGTTAATTTCCCCCATTTTTTATTCTGGTGGCCAAGTTTCTAGTCCTTCTGACATCTTGACTCTGGATCCCTTTACTTATAAAATTTTTAATGTTTTCCATTGGGTCTTCCTGCTCTGTTCTCTGGGTTCTTGTCTTTTTTTCATGTTTCCAAATCCACTTTTTCATTGCTTCCTCTTTACCCCACATCTGCTGTTGCTTTGTTGCCTGCTGTTTCTGTCTTCCTGTATTGAAGCTTTTGTTTCTTCCCACAGGCTGCTCTGGAAATCTCCTTTTATTTCTTTGGTAGACTCTCAGCCATTATCTGCTCACACATAAGATTAATTTGCTGCCTTTGAGGTGTGCAGGCAGTAGGAAGTAGCAATAGTAGAATTAAACAGTCTGGAGAGCATGGCTGTTCCCCAAGCAAGGTTTTCCTTGTGTTTTGGACTGCATCTGTGTCTATGGGTTTCTGGAGCACTTTGGCACTTATCAGCTGAAACACTTCCTGATGGTCATCTTATAAAAGGAGCAACTGGGGCTGGTGTTGGATTTTACTTTACCATGCTACTCAGAAGCTAATGACATGACCAGGGAGGGAGAAAAAAAATAAACTGCTATGGACGTTTTGTGGAAGTTTCTTGAATGTTGTATAATTTTCTTTAATGAGCAGTGGAGGGGTTTTTTGCAGATTTTTACTGATATGTACAGATTCCATTAAAATATGAAGTCTCTCAAACTCCAAGTCAGAATGGTTCATAGTCACTTACTGATATTTCAAAGTTCTTTGCTAAAATTTTGTACTTTGAACCTCCAAAAGAAAGAACCATGCAAATAAAAGTTTTAAAAAAACCCCAGCAACAAAGCCCAAAGTGAAAACCTGGATATAACTTTTGTTTTCAACATTACTATTTGTAGCTCTTTGGACTATCTTGGCATTTCAGTATAGTTTTCCCATATTTCAGATGTCACCATGAATAAAGAGTTAAGCAGAGATCATCTCAACCTCTACTTCATTATACAACTGTTTAAATCCAGCTGACACCCTGAATCTCAAAACCAAATAAAGTAGATCTGGAAAATATTCAGAGAGCGGGGACAGGATTGCATCAGAGCAAAGAAAGGCTTGGTTTGAAAAAAAACCAAAACATTTTGGAAGAGATATAGAATGGGGGAGGCAGAACATGAAAGACACCAATAAACTTGAGACTAGCATGGAGACGTTAAAAAGACATTAATTGTTTGTTATTTCTCTAAATATTGCAACTAAGGATCATCAAAGCAAACAGAGAAAAGGTTCTTAGCGCAGATTGATAGATCATGTGAGAGCTCTTTACCCAAGTCTGTAACAAATACTAAAAATTTTTCTGGTTTGTAAAGAAGTTTGGCATATACATGAAGCAACTAATTGATGTGACTATACATACAAAAGTAGTTTTTAGCTAATCCTTAAAAAAAAACAAAACAAAAAAAACAAAAACCAAACAGATTCTGAATTTATCTTCATTTCCAGGAGATGATTTTAAGGTGTCCCACTCTTGGAGACCAGGTGTCCTATATGGACTATAAGTAGTGTATGTAGTACTTACTATTTTATTGTTATTTCTCACTTCACAGAATTATCTGACAGGTGATTTTTACTTGTTCTAACAACAATATATCTACTTGTCAATTAAAAAAATATATTATATTACAACCATTGTAAAGCGGAAACTGGAGGCAAGAAAAAATAGGGAAAAAGGTCACCACAGTTTTTACAGATTTATTATTATGCTTAAATTGATACTTCAGATGGTCTTGTTTTCTACTGACTGTCCTTTCTTAGCTGTTATATTTTAACAGCTTGGTTGAAATTCTCCATTTTATTGGCTCTTTTGAATGATATATATTTAACATCCATTGCTATTTGAGAACTTTTTGGATAGAAACAAAAAATATGACCATGCCCCAGAAATGCAGAATACTGTTTGTGAGTAAAAGCCTAAGCTGAGAAATCTACAGATACAACTGCTGGGAGGGTATTTCCTGTTCTAGTTCTCAAGACAGATTTGGCAAGACACAACACTGGGACTCTGGTAAGGAAAATAGATTGCAGACTTTTAATCTCTGCAAGCTCTCGAAGAACTCAATCACTCAGAAAAATTGGCCCTAGAACTTAGTGAATACTTATTATCTATTTTACTGCTCTGTTCAATTTTGTTTTAATGAGTCCTGCTAGATAACATGAAGTCTGGTAGCAATGCTGGATTTCTTTTGAAGCAAGTTTAATTTTCATCCTGATCTTTTACATTATGCCTGCTCTTGGTTTTAGAGTATTTAGCCAAAACATTTATTTGTGTCCACTTTTGTAGCAGTTTTTTTTAAGATATGTAGAAAATTGAAAAGAAAACTGCTGCAGAAACGAAAACAAACAAACAAACAAAATAACAGAGCATAATACAGAAAGGTATACTGGGATCAAGGGAGATACCTTTCCTAACCTAAAATTTAATACTCATAAAGGTAACAAACCCAACTGCACTAATTTTTTTCTTTACCAAAAGACATGTATCTGTAGGCTTGCTAACATAGGACAAAAAATCAAATGGATTCAAGACAGCTTTATTTCTTGCAATGCTTTTCCTTACATCTGGGGAAGACCAAAAAAAAAAAGTAAAGGCTGCATGTGTCCTTTCCTGTCTTGCAACCTTGCAACCTTCAACATCTTGAATTTGGGCTAATATGGGCATGGAATTTGGGTGTGAGCTCAGTTTTGTTAACTGTAGGCCCTGTTACTAATCTGTCCCGTGGAATTTGTCACAACCCTGAACTAGGTCTGTGTGTCGATTAGGAAAGTGAAGCAGGCAGAAATTTAGGTCAAGGGATGGCAAAAAACACTTGTAATTGTCTCCAGTGCTCAGGATTAATCCTCAGAACAACACTGAGAAGAAAGTTGCAATGACAAGGCCAGCAGGCCCTCACGGGGTGAACAAAGTCTCAAAACGCCTGTAAGTTTTGGGAGGCAAAGGTCATAGGAACAATATTGGGCCACTCCAAGCCTATGTCATAAACTGTCAATAAAGAGCTCTTGTGCAGGGCAGGCCTCATGTTTTCTCTGCCTATGTTTGTTTTTCCCCAGCACCCCATCAATTCACAGTGCAGGGTTAATAAAAATCCACACAAGTCTCAAGGTGTTTCCTTTAAACTTCTTTGGAGGTTGTGTCGATAGACAATAACACACATCTGACTTCATGCTCAGACCTCTAGTGGTCCATGCTCTTTTTTGCAGTGCTTTTTAACACACATTGCACATATCTGGCATGATTAAACTGTAGGGCTGCGTTTTTTAATGAAATTAATCTGGACAAAAATTTTGTGTGTAGCATAAATCATAGGGATCTGTCACAAGAAGAAGACCTGAATCATCTTGGCCATCCTACCAGCATATCTAATCAAATTTATCACTGCATGACAGAGACTCAGCTCCAGGTCTGGTAAAAGAGGAGATGGAGCTGTTCTGTCTGATCTTCCTTGATGTCAATTAATTTTTATTCAACTTTTTAAAAAGCTATCTATGACCTATTTTGCCTTCTTAAACATCTTCTGGCTGTCTTCAGATTTCTCTACATTTCACAAAATTATGCTTGGGCTGAAAATTCATATAAATAACAAGGTTGAAAGAAGAAAAGAATAATACCTTGGAATCACAGCAATTATTCATCAAGTTTAATTGCCATCAGGTCTACTTAAAAGATAGCTAATTTACCTACAAGGCATAGCACAGTGAGAAAGCATTATATGGAAAATACCAGAAAGAGACAATTATTTTAGCAGGTGCACACTGATTTGTGGTTGAGCTAATTTCCAATGTAATGAGATAAGTTCCTCTGTTTTGTTTGGTTTTTTTCTCACAACAATCTGGAAAAATATACTCTTTTAGAGGTCAGTTTTACCAAGGATTTCTGTGAAAATGTTCTGTACATAAATGACAGAAGACCAGATTGATGCTGTTCAAATGTGGCTAGATTTTGCAACCCACTACATTAAGATACAGATAGAGCAACTGAAAATTATTTGATCAGTTGTCTGTCATCTCCAAAGGCTCTGTGATGTTTTATCTCCAGTTCTAGCAATTTAAAAGGTCAAATGATTATTTTAAAGAAAAAACAGCTAAAGCAGAGTGTCAGGAAGTGAGATAAGGAAAATCCTTTTATGTTTGAAAATAAAGTCTTATCTTAAAGTTCACTTCATGTAAAAATAAGGCCAACTCTGAAAAGAACAAACAATATTTTATTTTGTAAAGGAAGTAAATACAATTGGTGCTTTTTTCAGTAGAATACAAGCATTTTTTTTTTCCTATAATTGTCAGTCCTGCACCTATCATAACAACTATGTTTTTTTTTATATATATATATACAGATATATATATACAGATATAAGCATATATATTTTTTTAAAAAAATATTTGTTTTATCCTATGAATAGACTTACTTTTGTGTGATGAAAATGTTGTTAATGAAAGAGAACTAAACCTGAAGTTTCAGGATAGACTTCTCTACAGACAAGCCTTTGCATCACAGGATTCAGAAATTATTCTGGAGAAGAGGAAGTTTTAATAAATCAGAACTAATAAGATCATGACTGAGAAAATGATCTACTACAATTTTTTTTATCATAGGTTTATTGTAATTAAGCTATCTTAAAGCACTTTAGCTTGCTGTATAAAAAAATCTTATATGTTTTTATTTATTCAGGGTATTTATTGGCTGCAGAGCTGTCATTAGATGTTTGTGTACCAGCTGCTGAAACCTCCTCTTCACCTCCTTATCGTCTTCATTTCACAGAAATTCTGCAAGAGAGGAATTGGAGTCCTGGCAGAATGACCAGAAGTGTGACATTCAGGAGAGGGGAAAGGAATTTCTGTTAACCTCCTGCATGAGGCATTAATAGTAATCTCCTTTAAAAAGCTTGAGGAGATCTACCTAGGCTGCTTAACAGAAGTCTGCCCTTAGGATAAACAATACATGAATAAATGTAAGTCAATTAATGTGCAAACAGAACCCCTAAAAAACACCTTGCTAGATAAAGACTGACCAATAGGACTCATCTCTGATATATCTCAAGACAACATGGTACCTTACTTGCTTTTTAACATATATCCTCATCTGAAAACAAGGTGGTTCTTGGCATTTGAATGCCTGTTCTACCAGTCCTTCAGTCTTTTCTGATTTAACCTCATCTATTCTGTCACAACAACCCCATGGAGGACTGCACAGTAGCTGGAAGGTTTCCCAATGGAAGAGGACTTGAGGGTGCTGACTATCAGCAGGAGAACATGAGCCAGTGTGTGCCACTGGAGAGGCCACACCTTGAATCCTGCGTCCTGTTCTGGGCCCCTCACTGCAAGAAGGACATTGAGGTGCTGCAGTGAGTCCAGAGAAGGGCAGTGAACCTGGTGAGGGAGCTGGGATTGTTTAGTTCTGAGAAAAGGAGACTCAGAGGAGCCTTATCACTCTCTACACTCACCTGACAGCAGGCTGTAGTGAGGTGGGTGTTGGATTCTTCTCCCAGGTGACAAGTGACAGGATGAGAGGATATAGCCTCAAGATGCACCAGAAGAGGTTCAGGTTGGACATCAAGTAGAATTTCTTCATGGAAAGGGTTGTTAAGCATTGGAACAAACTTTCCAGGGAGATGGTAGAGGCATAATTCCTGGAAGTATTCAAAAAATGACTAAAAATTACACTTAGTGCCATGGTGTATTTAACAGGGTGGTGATCAGTCAGAGGTTGGACACAATGATCCTGGAGGTCTTTTCCAGCCTTAATGATTCTGTGATTCCATCATATTTCACATTTTTTCATCATTAATGTACAGAATAATGAAATATATAGTATAGTATATCTGTCAAATGAGTAGAGTCTACAGAGTTCTTGGTGATCTCTACATAATCTGAAAGGTGGTAGCACTGAGAACTTTGAGAACTTGTGTCGCAAAATAAAAGTTCTTCTACAATGTGTCTTTATGCCCTACTGTAAAGGTATGAATGTAGTCAAAAGTACAGAAAACTGTGGAATTCCTATTTGCACATTTATATTGTTTCCAGGTTGTTTTCTTGTAATGGCTCTTTATATCAGTAGAAAGAATTGTATTTTTCATGTCCCAAGCAAGCCAATTGATTCATTGGCAATGGTTCCAGTTTTATTACTTCCATTCTACAAAAATATTCTGGAAGCATTTGGTAACATATCACAATAAGTAATTCTTTGAATTAGAATATTTTTCTGAAAAATTCTCACATATTTTTAACAAACATGTCTTCTGTCAGACAAACCTTTCTTACAAGAAAAACAAGTTACTTAATAACTGAATAAAGCAGTATCATCTGACATTACCATCACAGAATTATAAATAATGAATTAGTGGAGAGAATTACTTTGAGGAATTTCATTGAGTTGAAAAGAATTTTCTATTAGCCTTGATAGAAAATTCCATCACCAATTTTTTCTTCCTCTGGAGGAATATTTTTTAGATAAAGAAATAAGCCATACCTATTTAATTAAGCCATGCCTATATAATTAATTAGCTATTACTAATTATTCCCTCAAATCCAGTCTTTAGGTAAAACTTTTATTATTGCCTGTCAAGAACTTTAAAATGACAATAACAAGAATTATGTTTATTTTGTTTGGGGTAACACCAACACCAAAATATTTCTGCAGCAAAAAGCATCCAACCTTCCAAATTGTCCAAGTCTATCAAATACTTCTCATTTTAATTTAGTTAGTTTTCTACAGCAGAAAACGGAGGCATTTTATTGAATTCTCCCAAATTACAAATGTAATGCGCTTTCACAAAGAAACGAAAAAATGACTTTTGAACCACTGGTATTGGTAGGAATATCCCATTTCTCCCATCAAAACATATGGGCAAGTTAAAGCCTTATTCCTATACAGAGTTTCTGCTTTTTGCATTAGATATATTTTGTAAGATGCATAGCTTAAGGCTTCACTTTTTTTATTCAAAATAATGGGAAATTTTCCACCTAGGTTAAATGGAATGCAATATGGTTCACCAGGCTTTAAACTACAGACTAGGAAAACCATTTGGCTAAAATAAAACTGACCTGAAGCCTTATGCAAGACTTAAACAAAACTTTGTAGTTTGCAAAAATCTGACTTCAAATAATCTACAAGTTTAAAATAGTCATCATGGCAGGGAAATAATATAATATTTGGATATTCAATAAGGCTTATACCCTTATTTTGGAGATCTTGATTGGGTTCAGATAATCATCCAGATTTTTAGATGCTTATTTAATTGAACCTCTAAACCTTTTGACTTTGCCCATCTCCAGTTTAAAAATGCTCTCTGGGAAAGTTATCCAGATGTCAGTTCTACAAAAGCACACCTGGCAAAACAACATCTGCCTGACAATGACTTAGTGAGCCTCAGTAAAGGCTGACATATGTGCACATGCAATTGGACCTTATACCAACAAAGTGTTTTACATATTAGTGTACACTAGGGAGTCCTGAATCCTGACAGAAAAATATGATGGCTTTTACACTTTAAATTACAGTGAAGCTGTATCCACAGATGGTGCAGGTACAACATGTGCTCTTATACAGCTGGCAGGTAAGGGGAGGTAATTTCCCTAACAGTCTCTTCCTGATTTCTAGTGTTTGTTTCGATGCAGTTGCAATTTGAGATCAGCATTCTGAGAGGAGTTGGTTCCAGCTGCTGGTATAATGGTGACTGAAATCTCCGGTATCAATGAAGAGTCTTCTGTTGATGCTTACAGATAACAAAATATCATTTGTCTCTCCTTTATTACAGCATCTCTTTCATAAGGTATGTGGGGCACAGTTTGTTGTGGTTTGGTCAGTCACAGGCCTTGAGTAAGTTAACAGAGTTTCTTTGAGATTAGTCAGCTGGAGAACTCACAGAGCCATTCCTATGTGCCAAATGGCCATGCTTTGAAGATAGGGAAAGTAAATCCTACGCAGTCAGGTTCTTGCAATCTCACAAAGGAGCTTTAATTCTGAAGGGAAAAAGGACTGATACGTAGTCTGTTCTCTTATGCTGACCTTTGTTTTAAAACCATAACAAAAATTCCAGGAAATATTTACACTTGGCCAGATTCTGAAAACAGGACATGGTCCAGCCGACCACCAGCATCTGAGTGTAAGGCAGGACACTTATGTTCACAAGACAGAGCAGCACTGCTACACTTCCTGCTTCAGAGAAGCAGAAACCCTCTAATGCAGGATTTATTAATTTTTTTCCAATGAAAAATGTAGTGCATTCCTATGGATACCCAACCTGACTCATAGTCCTTCTCTTTCTCAACCTGCCCAAAATCTTTATGCTTTTGTGGGACTTGTGCCTTACAGAGCTCAGTCATAGAGGACCAAACCAGTAATGCTTTTAGAAGGGCAAGGCTGAACTTTCAACAAGGTGTCTTCAGAGGATAAATGGCCAGGGATAAAAGTTGTCTGTAAGATTTAGGAAAATCCTCTGCCTACTTCTAGTAGGCTTAATCTAAGCCAAGAGTGTGCTCATCCATTTTTAAAGGAACCCTTTCCTTAAAGCAACCTCTTGTTTTGGCATCTGCAGCTCATGGAAATGTTCTTTCGTTTCCAGACATCAAGGAGTGGCTGTGTCATAGCATAGGATTAACCAGGAATAGTTCCACAAGTGAAGTTGTATAGCCTAGTGACTAGGGAAAAATGTGCCAGAAGTGCAAGTTAGCAGAGTCTGCACTAGAGGCACACTAGGTTCTGCTGGAAGAACATAACAAAAATAATTTCCCTGTTTTCAAGCTGGTTGTTTATATGTTGTCTTTAATCTCTTTTACTTGGGCATTTAACTGTTCACGTTCAAAACCTGTACTACACAGCTGCCTCTTACAAACCATTTCCAACCATTTCCTTGGGTCTCAGCACCTTGATATCTCTCAGCTCACTTCTGTACTATAGAGTTTTCCAAAATCTTGGGTTGGTCAGCTGTATGATAGCATGTGACTCGCGTTTGGACAATGATGTCAGCAGACATAAGGATTGCCCGGGTATAAAGCTGTCTCCTTAACAAAGGCACTGTTCCTGATACAGTGCATCACACCCATCCCCCTCTTCATGGGTATTCATGGATAGATTCTTTTTTAAATGCTGAAAATTCTGAAGTCAGATTTCTTTCCCTGGAAAGGGGTATAAGTAGTGAGTAGCTGCAGGTTAGACTATGCCTGCATCTGGAATCAAATAGCCTCTTGGGACCTGACCTTAGAGACCAAGGCCAAATCTCTTAATGAGAACTTGGGCAGTGTCTTATAGCAACACAATTGACTTGTTGGGAGGTTTGCATAACACCTACCAAAGTAAATTTCCATCAAGATGTGGTATTTACACACTTCAGCATCACACCTTTTATTTTTTATTTTTTCTTTTTCTTTGAATGGGTAATTAACTTTTTTTCCACTAATAGAACAGAAGTTCTGTAAATCATTAGATTTTTATAGGCACTAGAAATAACTAAATAACCTCAGAATAACATCCCAGTGTCAAAGATCAAATATAAATTTGACACAAGCCTAGAGGAAGGACCCAGCCAAAAGTAAAGCTTCTCCATTTTAGCAGAAACCTCCAAATCTGACTGAATAGTCTGAATAGACCGAAATGTTGGTCTATTCTTTCATAATCAATGAAGATTTCAATGATTGTCAACACAGCTTCTGTGGAATTTTAATAATTGTTAAATCATCAGCTTAAGTGAGCTAATGAAAATGCAGTAAAAATTGAGGAGAAGGTAAGGCTAATGAACTGAGATTGATCCTGTAATTCACAGGCTTTATCCTGAATTTGTTCAACCCTGAGAAAGAAAAAGTATAGAATGAGAATTTCAGATGTAGAGTAGAAATTCTGAGTTTCTATAGTGCTGCAGTGCAGGACAGTGTAGCTCAAGCTGGCTGAAAAGCACACAGAAGTTGGATAGAAAGATTGCAGAACATGGTGTAAAAGGTTATTAGAGACCTCAGTAAAGGACAGCAGGAGAAACCTCATTATTGTGGGCATGTGAGTTAATTACAGTAAGGACAGCATGCTTACAAATATAGGTGGACAGAGCAATCAGTTGGCCTTTCTCACCCATCACTGTACCAGGAGCAAGGCTTAAAGAGGTATCTTGTATCACTGGTAGCACTGGTATTGCTGGGGCTGCAAAGGTTTGCTCTCACTGGTCACTGACACAGCTATTAGCTGCGCCACGAAATACTGCTGGCTTTGGTGGTCTCAGCACTTCCTTGTTGAATGGGATCAGAAAGATTTGTAAAGGGCTGAGAAGCTGCTGGGTTTTTTCCAAGCTTGGAGGGAACCAGATGACACATGCTGTGATTGCCCATGAGACTGGAGAACGAGAAACCTGAATTGATTGGACAAAATGATGTCAATTAAGCATAGGGGAATGTATTTGTTGTGCTCAACTATGCATTTAAATTTAAATAATTGAACATCAGTACAACATTTTGAAGAACTGACACTAGTAAATCTAGTCTCCAGAATGTTCTAATTAAAGTTATTTTAAATAAGACTTACTAACTTTATATTTTAAATGTTTCCTGTGTTGACTGCAAGATCTTTTTTCAGACTTTTGTTTATGGTAAATTTGAGGTTTAATCCTGTATTTTATTTTTTTGAAATACTGTTAAACAGTGGATC